GAAGGGGGGGGGGTATAATCAGATTTGGTCGGGTCGTATTCCCACCCCTTTTCGAATCCAGATACTGAAGTAGATCATTTTGGTACTTGTCACAACAATCCTGGATCTTTCTGTCGTTTCTGTGACATGTAGTCCCCTTTCCGATATATTTATAATATATTATTTATTACTACGTTCCATCGCATAATATCTTTAAAATGTACAAGTAAATGTTGTAGAAGATCTGTATTACGTTGGTTTCACGTTAGCACATTTTACAGTTTTGTTGAGGAATGTAAATTTTTAATAGACAAAACTTTAAAAAAAAAACCTCTAATGGGTAGTCACTTCCGTCACCTTCGCCCATCTCGTTTACTGTGCTTCCTCGTCCCTCGCATTTCGTCCCCCTGGTCATGAAAAGAAATCGCCACCCCTGTTTATTATGCATCGCCACTCTCAGTCATCTCACCTCTCCTTCATTTTCCTTCTTCTCTTTTTCTTTCTATACTGATCTTACACACCTTAATCTCTTATGTTTTTCTCCGCTCGTACACTTTGCCTGTCTCTCCTCTCCCCATTCCTCTTTCTCTCCCTCTAATATTTCCACTTACTTTTACCCGCTATAATAGAACATTTTCGCAATGTGATCAAATTTAACGCGCAAATCTTTGTTTAGTGCCTCGTTTCAAAATATTTTTTATTTATCTGTAGCGAACAGTTGCATGTCTTTAGTCAGAATGCAAATGCATACGTTGCGTATTGTTAGGTAGGACAGTCCATAATGTTTTTCCTACCTAGCAACAACTGATGTATGTTATTTGCATTCCGGCTATTGAAATGCAATTATGAATAAAATGATTTGTAACGAGGCACTTACTAAATACTTGTGCATTAAAGTATGATTATATTACGAAAATGATCAATTAATTTTTACGCTCTTCAACTTTCTCTTATCACTATCACGTTCCATTTTTGTCTAATCTCCTCTTCTGTAACATCCATTGACTTCTCTTCATTTTCTATCCACGTATTATACTGGTCTGTATCTTCTTAGACTGTGCCGCGTTTTCTATTTCCTATTTTCTTTGTCATTCACATTTGTCATTATGGTAAATTATTCATATTTACGATTTATATTGTAGATATATTTGGCTGGTATGAGAGGCATCGATGTTTCTATAGGCTCAAGGGGACGTTACATCCTGATATGACCCCGAGGCGCCCGTAACGTCCCCTTGAGCCAGTATAGAAACCGTTATGCTTCGAATATCAAAACAGTCCATAAATCTTTTATATACCGAATTCACAAACCAATCTACAAAGAATTCTTACGTTATCCTTTTCTTAAAGGTAAATACCAGTTTTGGAAACGCCCCCCTCTCAACAAAATGAAATGGAAGCTCTTATTACCAATCATGTGAAAGAATATGTTTTGACTAATACGTGATTATACAAATTTTCCCGGGAAACCACCTACTAATTGATATATTTGGTAAGTTATTATATCTATTTGGACCTAATAGATATCGCGTACCTGTCGCGTAGTGCCATATACATCTTTCTGTGCACAGTGCTTGTAACTTTACCAAGACAGGTCCATTTTTTTTTTTTATTATTTTGATGATTCCAGAACCTTGCAGTACACACCAATACTTATATACTAGGTGATCCACCTTTTCTGATCGATTCCACAACGTTTCTTTCACAATGCAATCGAATTACCAGAACTGGTCTTTAAATTTAAGTAAAGACTGGTTAAAACATCACAGAAAATTTGAGACTCTCTGTGGGCCTCAATCTTCGCTGGAAAGTTGCCTAAATGTTGCGATCATTCGGGAATCGCAGACAAAAAGCACTGTATGGTATCCTCGCGTGCACAACAAAAACGTTTAACAGGTGAACCAATGGGGATCTCAGCAAAATTTAGTTATGCAGCCCGTTACCCGGGCAAAAGAGCATCTTTAAAAAACCAGTGACCGGTAGGCGGGCATGGCTAAAATCACGACTCTAATTTCGACCAATCAGATGAATAGATTTATTCAACATACTTAAGATAGGTTTATAAATATTTTTGCAATGTGTTATTCTCATTTGTCACTCTCGGTTTATTTCTTCTTCATATTTTAGATTTTTTACGGAAACAGCTAGGGAATTATTTTGTTATGCCAACTGCCACTACTTTTTTTGGTTATGACTAATTTATTTGAAGCGAATTGAAATGAATTGTATTCTATCAATTCCTCTCACTATCTCATACCTACCAACTTTTCAAAGCAGAAATTTGAAATTTCTCAAGACAAAATTAGGAATACAGTCTTTTTGGGGTATTTTTCACGCAGATAATTAACCAAAATAGCGACTAATGTACGGATCAAATCGATTGCTTGAAAGCCAAACAATAGGAATGATTGGCAGCTATGCTATCTAAGTCTCTCTTTGCTTCCTAATATCCCTCATCATGCCTTTCTGAATCCATTCTTCCTCAACACACTGACAACAAACACGACTTTTTGAATAATTCTTAGAAAGGAGGAGAGACTTCAGATGAAATTTGAGATGAATGAAACGATAGGTCGTACTAATTTTCAGCTCTTGATGAAGGCCTGCACAGTGTTCAATTAACATCCATTCATTTCTTCATGCATCAGTCAGTTACAAATTACAATTGAATTATAAATGATATACGTATACAAACCAACTTCATGTTGCACTACAAGAAAGACACTCCTAAATCATAGGCCCCCAAATCATAAAACTTATTTCAACAATCAAATATTTGTAGTTATTTCAACCAATTTACATCGAAAAGAGGCATTCAACTTTTACAACATTTTCCCCCCTGAATGTTAATGATATTAACACAGTAAAAAGAAAAGTTTAAAAGATATTACGTATCCTTGGAATGTTTGAGAGTAATTAGAGTGTGCCTTTTGCCTGCCCTTATATATATATCCTCCACCTATTTATTCAATTTCAATATAAATGTAATCGCATCAGAATACACACAGTAACAAAACGTATTGACATTCAATACAATATGAGGAATGGTACGTGGTTTGATCATTTGTTTCGTCACAAAATTGATACAAAAAATGATAGCGTATCTTCAGTGTCCGATTGTATGGGCATTTTTCACAAATGTACATGAGAAAAGATTAGCCTTAAGTTAATCTCAAGGACCATTTGTTAGCAAAAGTAAAGAGGTGATTATATGCATTTAATTCACCGTATCTTTCGTGAAAACGGAGGGGGGGGGGGATTTGTACATACATCCGTGTAACCCAACAAGGTGACGCACCAGATTTTTCGTGATTATGAGAATATGGAAGATCGTGTAGGACTACTCGGCAAGCCGACCTAACGCAAAGACCCGAATGAATGAAGCAAGTCGAATTTATTCGTGATCTTTCTGATCTAGGGGCTTTGTAGTACACTTCATTGGTTTATCAAAATGTGATTGATTCGTATAGAAAAGTGCATTTAAATTTAAACTGTACCGATATGTGAATACTCGCTTTTTCTGAGATACCAAGTTCCCAAATACAACGGGTTTATAACTCGTACCATTACATATGAATCAGAATTTTAAACATTTCATACATTAATTCGAAGTTTCAATATTCCTTAAGTACGTAATTTAGGAAATGGAGTAGTGGTGCCTATTTTTAATTGAAAATTAAAATTACTAATCCGAAGGCTCGTAATTCCGTAAACATACAACCAGGCTCTATTTCAATTTCGGAATTATGAACCCTTTCTCATTTGTGGAATTATGAACTTTAAAAAATAATAATATTAGTCTATATTCAGAATTACGAAACCCATTTCATTTTCGGAATTAAAAAATCTACTTAATTTTCGTCATCGTGAACCTTGGCGGTAACGTACTTCTGGAAATACGGACCTTCAGAATTATGAACCTTCGGAAAAACAACATGTAGCCACCGGAATGACGCTCATTTAGATCAAAGCATTTCCTGTAGTTATTAGACACGGACGAATCCGAGATCGACCGTAACGACGACCACCATGATGATGAGAGATAATGCCAAACCCTCCAAAGATGAAGCTGAATAAAATTTGAAAAAAAGAAAAAAATACATTAATCATAATAGACAATGTTAAATGGATAGTTAAGTTTTGGTATAGAGGGCGCTTCACAGAGTAATTTTTTGTGAGATAATTAAAAACTAAGTGTCAAATTTGAAAGAGTATACAATTTAAATAACGAAATGACCGGTTCTGAGACGGCTGAAATATCCACAGATATAATCATTTCTAATATTTGTGGAGCCCCAAAAATATTCGATAATTCTAAACCAGCTGGTGCAAGAAAAAAATGCTTTTACTTTTCAAACAGATGTTTTTAAATAGTTTTTGATAATCTTTCTTATTAATCATTATTTAATGTGGTTAAATTACTCTTTCACAGGCTTCTTACTAAGTCGTTTGTAATTTGTGTAGGCCTATACATTACGAGCATGGTGCATTTTAACTATTACTTTGTAAAGTAATGGTGCAGGTTTTGCATGACTATTACAATTTAGTTTGACCAAAACTCTACTCTATTTACACAAACTCAACTATCCCTTTAAATTGTTCGCATGGTAATAACAATAATTTTTACTCAGTATGTTAACATTGAAACGCATATTGACGTTTCTTGCAGGCTCGATATATATAATTATCATGTGATTGATGACCCATCCATCTCAAATGTCTATTTTAAAGCGATACTGGACTACCGAACTTTTTGCCCTAGCAAACTCTTTAATGCACAGCGCCATCTCTTGATGAACTTGCCAACAGTGCATAACCCAAAATCTCATTCCAACTTCGCAGACAGAGGACTCGATGCAAGAACCAACAGTGCAGCTAGGGAAGCAGCGGGGGGGGGGGGGGGGGGGGGGGGTTACTGAACCACACTGCTACAGCTGACCTGAGATGGCGCTAGATGAGTTTAGAGGTAGTGCTTCTAGAATAGTATGGTTTTAACATTGTGGGGCATGTGTTTTTCTTACCTCTCCCGCCGGGGTCCAGAGTGGGGTTGGGTACACAACGAACTGCCATAGGATTACAATCACTGTAGGGATCCCCCCACGCTGTGTGTTGACATCCAAATACGGTGTTACATGTGATATAAACGACTGATGCGCTGTACCATGTCATTGTCCCATCAGCAACCGTCTGCGTATCGAGACTAGTAGCATCCGTCGTGTCCGTATAACCAAGGTCGGAACATACAAGCTGCACACGCACACAGAGAAAATATGGAAATTACTAGGGTTGTCAAAAGGAATGAATGGTAGAAACTGAGGTGGGGAGGGGGAGGGGGTAAGGTAAAAATAATCTAAAGGGCCATACAAATGTGAAAAGCCCCGATTTTATAAATCACCTATGTGCTTCGCGGTGATTATTCTTGGTCACATCTTTCCCTTGCAAGTCGCTTGTGTTTTAGTATGTTTCAGGGAAGAAGATCTTTCGGCGTCATGTTTCAGAGTTTTCAAGTAGTTTTTAATCAACCTCCACGTAATATCTCGACAATGATTGAGAACTAAGTTTACATGCTCCTCAAAGATTCCCTTCTCCATTAGCAAAGTTTATTTCTTTCCATTTTGTTCCCTATATAGGTTGACGACGCCTCGTGCGTAAAGTATGCACTTAACGAAGAAGACAGATTAACGGCTCTGAATAAAGCAATCCAGCCGTATCCTCTTTAACTAATAATAATTTATTTTTAATGTTCATATTCATGTGTATACGTTTTTTTTATACGGAAATAAAACCAAACCAATTAAAAGCTATTTTCTTATAAGCTACAATTCGATCACAGTAGTACACAGTTTTGGTATGGGGTCAGGAATTTGGTTCAAATGAACATATTGGAAGCATATTCGAGTTTACAATATTCAATGATCGTTGTCGCGATTGAAATTGAGTCTGAAGTGATGCCATTGTAAATAATAAACTCATTATGTTGTAAAGCTCACTCGCAAGATTGATATTACTTTAGCTTTAAAGTAGTTTTAGTGTTTAAAATACATCCACAGAGGCATCCAAACTATATCAAAATATTAAAGAATTACTATGCACCCAATTTTCAAGATTACCTTTAACATGCTGAGATTGTTTTAACTTTTAAATATTTCAAACCAACGCGCTCAACATGGTAAAATTTGTTTTTTAATTGAATTCAAACAGAATCACAATAATAACAGATAATCGGAGAGTCATTAAAAATCAAGTGTAACAAAACACATAAAATAACACAAATAAATAACAGAACGACAATCGTAACATATCAATATATGATAAATATAGTAGGATTGCAGACAGCCAACAAAGAAGTGATTTATTTTTGTTAATTTGATAGGAACATAGTAAAGTAAGGAATCTTAAAGATGCAGCCAGACGGCGACATGTTAAAACTCGTCAAAATGAATTCTCGCCTTCCCACTTTTAAACAAGTTGTCTTGGCGCGTTTGAACAACTCGACCCCTCGTTTCTAAAAATAAGACGGCTTTGGCCAGTCGTTAAAGCTCGCTTTTTCGTCTTAAACAAAGCAACTCGGTGGGTTTTAAAAATTTGCTTCTCACATGGAGCCTTGGTGTGAGTTTCAACAAGTCGCTTTCTCGCTGCACATTTAAGTTTCCAATTAAAGTACTGAACAAAAAAAAAAAAAAAAAACATCCATTGGTTTTATAAAAAAGCTTTCTTGTCATCGTGGTGACAATGTTATCAATTCATACTGTCTTTGTGTACGCATGATCGTTAGACATTTCAGGAATGTTGAACAAAAAACTTGGGCCTAAGCTATTTTCTTAGCCGAAAAAGTGTTATTTGTTTTGAAAGAGCAAGAATTTAATGGGGAATTTAATGTTGCAAACATGTAAAAGTGTATTTCAAACATTTTGCGAAAATACTAGCAGGGACTGTTTAGTTTTTGTAAATGTGTGGCGAAAAAATGGTTTAAATTTAAAACCTACTTTGTACTTTTGTTCAAGACAAATGGGTCATATTTGGCGTCAAATATTTTTGGAAATCCGCAAAATTGGGCGTCATTTACGTCTCCGCTAACGATCATGTGCTACACCTCTGAATATGAAGTGACGTCACCGTGCTTGTCACGTGTACGTACTTCAGAATAACCGGACTTCTCGCAAATGTATCCCCATTGGCCGTCATGGTAGATCTCTACAAGTCCTGACTGGTTGTTGATCTCGTTTGTGTTAATGTCGACCAATCTTATTGGATGGTATGCCACAATATCTGTACACGAAACAGAAAAAAGAAAGAAGCCCTCGTATCATATTCTTCGTCTTGCGATAGAAACTAACGAATATAAATAACAAGCTTCTGAACAGTAAAGACGCTAAAACCCATTACAAATCTTTACATCATCATTACGAGTAAGAAGTATAAAAGTAATTTATATTTTTACAAGCTACTCCTCCCCCAGAGTGGAAGGATCCCCCCCCCCCAAAAAAAAAGATTGAAGGAAGTACCCGTGGCATTGAGGAAAAACAAGGAAAAGCATGTGTCAGACATGAGACGTACCCAAGGGTTTGCACACGATGCCTGTCTGGGCATAGGCACCATTTCCAGTTCCATCAGTATGGTTAATACAGTTGATGCTGCCGTCTAAGGGATAAACATTGCACAGGGCTCCTGCATCCTGTGAACCTCCTTCGAAAGGCATCTGCTCTTCTCCAACGTAATGATACAACGATATATCATCATACCCCATGGCTTGACAAAGCTTGTCATAGATAACATTGTCGGGACCACTTACGGTAGGAATCACCCAAACTTTGACCCATTCTCCGTCCTTGTAGGTTTCCACACGTCCTTGCTCCGAATACTTATTTCCAGTCATCTGCATGTCCCCATCTTGTTTTAAAAAGAAGGACGGTATTTATTTGAATATTGCTCATTTTGTCATTTATACACCATTATAATTATGTGTAATACCAACAACAACAATCAATATAGTGACGATGATTTTGATAATAACAATAACAGCAACAACAATAATAACAATGATAGCAGTGGAGTCTCGTATAGCGCTGATGTCTGGCAAATTGCCACTCCTTGCGCTTTATTACAATTACCTCTGTTTTACATTAAGCAACATGCGCTTCACATATTGTATCGATTGCTGTATAGCTACAAGCTGTTTTAGAAATACAGACTTTATACCATGCTTATCAAAGTGAATTGAAAGTGCCAATCTAACCCCACTAACACAACCTTTCAAAACATGAATACACCTCTACTTATTATTATTCCACCCTCTGATTTTTCAGAAAATCTCTAAGTTGACCAAAAAATGATAACTACCATCCATTTTTCAAAGATCTCACGCTTTCTGGACTATTACGGTAATACGGTCACGTGGCTTGATGAGTCATTTGACGTCACCGCGGGAATGTCCGATTTGTCCTACAACTAAGGATCTTACATTAGGAATGACGAAATTGCCAGATACGTACTGGGATTATCAAGTGCATCTTATTTGTCTTCAAATGACATCATAGTTTGCCTTTTAAAAGACATTTGAATGCCTAATTCACCTTCCTTTTCACCGGAGAGGTTCATGCAGTGACGTCATATGCTATTGCGCAATACAGCTCCGAAACTGTTTTTTTTTTCTGAGCGTTCTGAGTCGTCATTTTTTAAGCTAGATTCCAGAATTATTGATGATTTCTAAGAAAAGTCATTGTCTTCTGAACCTTCTGAAATTTGAGTCAGCAGGGCGGTATTCCGCATGTCGCTAACTTGTATGGCAGGTGATGCATGCTAGAGTGTGTTTCTGAAATTATCAACTGATGTAGCTATTACAGACTGCTGGTCGAGGGTATTCCATGCTCGTCCAGTTCTTGGAAAAAAGGAGTATTTGTATACGTCCTTTCTGGCAAAGGGGATTTCTATTGAGTGATGGTGGTTTCTTCTTAACCTTGACCCTGTTGATACTTGTATGTAGTCCTCTTGCTTTGGGCCCACCTTTCCCCTGTAGATTTTGTACAGCATAACCAAACGACTCTTTTCCCTCCTACGTTCAAGTGATTCCCATTCAAGGCAGGTCTGCATTTGTGTGACACTGCTGTCCCTTTGGTAGTTTCCTGTTACGAAGCGTGCCGCCCTCCTTTGAACTGCATCCAGTTTATTAATCTGCCCTATCCTGTATGGGTCCCAGGCACAGCTTGCGTATTCTAACACTGGTCTCACTAGGGTCGTGTATGCGATGGCTTTAACATTCCCTGGGCAAAACCATAGGTTTCTCCTGAGGAATCCTAACGTGCGGTTGGCTTTCATAGCTGTGTTGTCAACACGGTTCGCCCACGTCAGTTTACTGTCTATTTCCAAAAAGGAGCACTTATCTAAAATAAATTGTCATGTTCGGAATATCCGTCAAAAATTATTCTACATGTCTTTGTTTCATTTTTAAAGCCCGTTTTGATTAGAATGGTATTTTAAATCTAACTCATTAGCCAAACAAACTAGAAAATGTTTATTACAACCAGGCGCGGATCCAGGATTTCTTAGGGGAGGGGGCCCAGTTTTTTTGTTTTGTTCCCGAAAATGTGAAAATCGCGACGGCCGAAAAGTCGCTCAGTGAGGTGGGGGGGGGGGGGGGGGCGAGCCCCCCGCCCCCCTGGATCCGCCACTGATTACAACCTTGATTGTGTCATGTATCGTCATTTTGTCTGAGGATATCACTAATCATAGCTGGTATTCCTCATAAGGGGCCCTTATAAGAATTTGGAACTGGCACCTATTTCGAAGAAAAAAGGAGCACTTATCTAAAATAAATTGCGGCACATTTTCCCTGGAAAATAGGGATACCTGTGGGTATTTGAATGCGTTGGGGAGGGGAGATGTACTGGAATATTGCTCTATGTAAACTAAAATAGTTGTCCAGTCATTATTTTCAGGATGATGATACTGATATCTTACCTTTATTTGGTTCGCATGTGACCTGAGCAACGTTGTCAGGCGCGCATGTGGTCGGGTTGGCTTTCTTGGACACAGTGCAGTTTTCTAGTGTTCCCTCATCGCCATTACACACGATATCCCATTGTAAGATATCAGTATAATCCTCTGGTGCGAGATCGACTACTTTGGTTGCTGTACCACCTTCGTATCCCTGCATACGACATGCCACAGCGGCTTCCTTGTCAGTCCATGTTTGATCGCATATCAAGGCACGTCGACCCTCTGCTTGGTAATACACCACGCCCTCAAAGGAACCTGCACCGCTTAGGAAGTCAATCCATGTGTCGTCGTTTGCTAGACAGGACAGATCGAAACGTATGATGATAACTGCAGGGCACTCTTGCATATACAACTTTATTTCGAACGCAAATAAGAAAATTAAACACTTCGTCCGAATAAGTTGTTACCTGTAATTAAATTTTATTCAGTTACAGTTTGACTGAAAAGCTCGTAAAAACATCAAGTTTGCGATTGGTCTGATGGACCGCCGCACATAAACCTGCCAAAACATGCTTTAAAGGGATAGTTGAGTTCTGTTTTCAGACCGCAAATACCTTCAAAGTGCATGGTTATTGCTCTTTTTCCTATCTCTGGCATTTCTAGTGCCCTTTTAGACACTAAAAGTGCCATGAAGGTAATTTTAGACCCAAATATATTTACAATTTAGCCAATACGGTCAAACCAATTCACCTACACTTTCAAAAAAATACGGTGACCGTTTAATAATTAATTATTTCATTAACAATAACTATACATGGGCCGGCTGGTTGTGCGTAATTATAACCAACACGAAAATGCCAACATCGGCATTGGCTAAAATACGACGTAAAAGGCGCTATTTCGTTTTTTCAACGGCTTTTTAAAATTCTCTAATATTTGTGGTGGTACACAAGTATTATAAATCGTTATATTTATGGATATTACAGCCGTCTCTGAACCGATTTTGATCAAACAAAGATGATTTTGTCATTTAAATCGTATGTTATTTAAAACTCGACACTCAGTTTGTCATTATCTCACAAAAAATATTTTGAGTAGCGCGCTCTGCAACAGAACTCAACTATCCTTTTAAAGGTAAAGACCAGTATTGGAAATGCCCAATTTCAAAAAATGAAATGGAAGCTCTCATTACCATTCATGTGAAAGAATATGTTTTGACTAATACATGATGATAAAAAATTTGCTGGGAAACCGCCTACTAATTCATTTATTTGGTAAATTTGTTTCTCTCATGGTCTGTGAGAGATATAGGGTAGTCCCATATACATCTTTCTGTGTATAGTGCTTGTAACTTTACGAAGAATGGGCCGAATTTCTTATCATTTTGATGATTCCAGAACCTTGCAGATGCTAGATGCTAGATGATCAACCTTTTCTGATCGATTCCACAACGTTTCTTTCACAATGAAATCACTTGACCATAACTGGTCTCTACCTTTAAAGGGGAAGTCCACCCTGAAATTAAGTTAGTTTTAATAGGAGTAGAAAAATGAGAGAAACAAGTCAGTGAAAGTTTGAGCAAATTCCGATTAAAAATAAGGAAGTTAGGATTTTTGAAGTTGTGATCAATCAAACACAAATTGGCAACTCTATGACGTATCATGTGAGCTCAACTTCCATTTGCTCAGTACTAAAAAAATCTAAAATTTTCATTTTCCCTCAAGAAAAATTTCAACCATACATGCACCCTAAATATAATAATTGCAAATATGTTTCTATACTCCCCCTGCAAGGAACAAATATATATTCCGTCATCAATAACGAAGAAAACATGATTTTATGGAATATTATGCACAAAGCAAATGAAGGAGAGCTCGTATAATAAGTCACAGAGTTGCCAATTTGTATTTGATTGATCACAACTTCAATAATTCATAACTTTCTTATTTTCATTCAGAATTTGCTCAAACTTTCACTCACCTGATTTTCTTATTATTCTGCCTCTATCGAAACAAACTTATTTTGGGGGTGGACTTTCCCTTTAAGTCTCGTTTAGATATGAGGTGGTCAACCGCGATTGTTTTTTTCTTCATGATGACATATTTGTTTACGCTTCACATTTCTTATGCTCTAACACGATGCTTATTGCGTATCCGGACACCTACCTCCTGGACATCAACCCCTCGGGTAACCACCCCAGTCAACTACACCCTAAGACAATTACCCCCGGACAACCACCCAGACAACTACCCCTAGGACAACTGCCCCCCGGAAAACTACCCCCGGACAACTTCCCCCGGACAACTACATGTAGGAAAATTGTCCGGGGTTGTTGTCCTAGAGAAGGTTGTCGTAGGGAGTAGTTGTCTGGGGGTAAGTTGTCCGGATGGTAGTTGTCCGGGGGTAGTTGTCCTAGGGGTTAGTTTTCCAAGGGGTAGTTGTCCAAGGGGTAGTTGTCCTATGGGATACTTTACTAAGGGGTATTTGTCCGGGTGTAGTTGACACAGAGGCAGTCGTCCTAGAGCAGGCCTTCTCCACTAGTTTATTAGAAGTGCCAAAAAGAAAAGAATTTTTAGTTTAAGTGCCAACCTGCATGTTTGATTTTACTGCGGTGGAGCTTAGCGACCGAGCTGACAACGGGCGGGGTCAAGTGCGAAGCCCCCGCGGGGATGCAGGGGCGGAAAGCTCGTGGATTTTAGGGCATTCTAAAGACCCAGATGTGGTATTTTAACACTTTTTTTTTAATTTCAAAATATATCAATCAAAATTTCATACTGTCAGATGTGAAAAAGTTAGTACAATTCCTGGATACAATCACACTGGAGGTCAATTTAATATGTAGTTATTTTAGTGCAATAATATCAATATTAAGTGAAAATCAAAAAAACACAATAACTAGATGTTTCCAAAGACTGGCGATGTTCAAATTGGTAACACATCATAAGCTTATTGTTTTTTTTTAAAGCTAAGGTTAAGAGTCGTAGCAGTCATTTTTGGGCTCAACTTCAACTGCGTCCATTTCATTCTAAAATATGTATTTCTTAAATATTTTGGTTATACAACAGCCGCACGCCACTCCGACTGGCCGCAAGCGCCACAAGTGGCGTGCGCGCCGACAGTTGAGAAGGCCTGTCCTAGAGGGTGGTTGCCCTAGGGTAGGTGTCCTAGAACCGCTCATTGTGTAGGCATAAAACCTTGTTGCGCACAGTTGTCAGTCAATTACAGGTAAAAACCGTCTTTTACCGCGTCATATCTGAGCCAGGCTTGAATGGGTTGCCACACCAAGCTTACCGAAACATTCGACGCCAGCGTCTTGAGTGTGATCGCAGTCCGAACGTGATTCTGGGACCAACTCACTCCGACAATCGCTAAAACTGTCTTCATCCCCAGTGCAGTGTACGCTCTCGAATATGTCTCCGGTAGCCCCTCCTCCGATTGTGAAGAAACTTCGCGCTCCTCGCTTAAAACCTAGATCACGACAGACCACATTAGCTGCAGCCTGGTCCCACGTACTGTCACAGATGGTACCTGTCAGCTGGTTGTTGACCGTCACTTCTACTCGACCGTATTCAGGGTAACCAGGAATCGTGTTGACGATGCTAAGTGCTGTAAAAGTGTAATTGCATAACAAGTAAATAAACACTTTCATTAACAGTCATGCAGACACAACTTCAGAAAGCCCAATAAAGGCAAAAACTTGTAAAACAGCAATGGCTCTTAGTGAGTATAGCGCCCTCAATTTCCACTACAAGTTAATATGGACAAGGCATGGGGGATCTTCTGCAGTCAATCTATAGTGTCGATATAATTGTGTTCGTAAACTAATGCTGTGGTTCAGTTATCTTTAAAATGTATGAAGGATTAATCATGTTAAGATCATTATATGAAATAAATATATCCCCATTCCACAGCGTTACAGTTTTAAAGAATGTTCATCGTAAAGTACAGTACGATGAATTTAGGAAATATTCGGGGAGATGTTCATCGACTCTTGTACACACTGCCACGCAATAGGAACTTTTAGATTTGCGTGGACTGATACGTGTGACGTCCATTCAAGGCAGTGCATTAAAAGGACGTCGATCGTAGCGATCCACGTTGTCGTTGTGCAAATCTAAATGTCCCTAATGAACGATGATCGGGGGCACTATATTCACTGTGCGTTATTCACTGTTTTGCAGGTATTTGCTTGTACTGTATTCACTTTCAGAAGTTTTGTCTGACTGATTAGCATGTAACAACAGCCTCAGTAATAAAATATTGTCAACCGGTGGTTCCCAGATGATTTCATGTAATGTTTCAGACCATATTTAATACCATATTATCGGAAAGATAAGAAAGCAAAAGTTAATTTGAACCCCCACCCCTCTGATTATTCAACTCTCAGAAATGGGTAAAAAGTTGCAATTAAGTCTGATTTAGGGTAGCCAGTACATCAGCTAGAATCAATATACTAACAGCTCTTCCTGTAGGCCCTGCAATTATAACCTCAGCATTGCCAGATTTCCATTAAAAGTTGAAGTTGAGTTCTGGTCATCAAGGGCGTCTCCAAGGGGGGGGAGGGGGGTGGTGGTGCAGCAACCCCCCCAAAAAAAAAAAAAAAAAAAAAAACAACTAGCTGTCAGTTGTCGGTAAAATTGCGCTGCCGTCGGGAAAACAGAGAAAAGGGGGAGGAAAAAAAGAGAGGGAAAGGGAAAGAAAAGAAAGAAAGACAAGAAAAAGAAAGGAAAGAAAGGAAAAGAAAGGAAAGAAAGGAAAGAAATGAAAAGAAAAGGGAAACAAAAAAAACGGGGGATAAAAGAGAGGAGAGAGACCAGAGGTAAGAGCCTGAGAGAGGAGGAGTGGGAGTAAAATAGAGAAGGGGGTTGTTGGGTAGAGTCGTCCCGTCGAGGGAGCAAGAAATACACGCATAAATATGTTGATGTGTTGGGTCAGCTCTGTCGGTATTCTTGCTCAATCCTCGTGTACTAATTATATCAATGCAGAAGTTTGAAGTCGGTGAGGTAATAATGTCGGTCGGCCGACAATTTTTTCCCCTACGGACTGCGATTTTATTGTATATTCTCGAAGTTTTAATTTCGTATAATATAAGCTAAAGAAATCAGAGGTTAAGAATTTTCGGGGAAACTAAATTCAAACAAGGATTATGAGTCAACAACGGTACAACAAATTGTCTTCCTTTCTCTAATATTTTGATGAAAAGCCAAAGCTTCCGCGCTTTGCGCGGGAGGAGGAAATTTCATTTAGACAAGGATTAAGAGTCGAGAACGGTACAACGAATCGTATTCTTTCTCATATATTTTAAGGAAACGTCAAAGCGTCCAAGGGAAACTTCATTTAGAAAAGGATTAAGAGTCAATAACGGTAAAACGAATCGTCTTCCTTTCTCTAATATTTTGATGAAACGCCAAAGCTTCCGCGAGAATAGGGGGGGGGGGGTGACTGAATTCAGACAAGAATTAAGAGTCGAGAGCGGTTCAACGAATCGTCTTCTTTCTCTAATAATTTAAGGAAACGTCTAAGCTTTCGCGCTTCGCGCGGGAGGGGAGAAACTGAATTTAGAAAAAGATTAAGAGTCGAGAACGGTAAAACGAATCGTCTTCTTTCTTTAATAAATTAAGGAAAACTCAAGGGAGAAACTGAATTCAGACAAGGATTAAGAGTCTAGAACAGTAAAACAAATCAGGCTGCTTTTTCTCATAATTTAATGAAGCGTCAAAGCTTCCGCGCTTTGCGCGGGAATGGAAGGAGAAAAACTGAATTCAGACAATTATGGTTAAGAGTAGAGAACGGTACAACAAATCGTCTTCTTTCTATAATAATTGAATGAAACGTCAAAACTTCCGAACGGGAGGGGGAAAACTTCATTCAGACAGGGATTTAGAGTCGAGAACGGTACAACAAATCGTCTTCTTTTCCTAACAAATCAATAAAACGTCTAAGTTTCGGTGTTTGCAGGGAAGGCCTGTCATCCCCCCTCCTCCCCCCCCCCCCCACCTATGGAGCACGCTTCATAGGAAAAACAATTTAGCCTTCGGACCCGAGTTTATATGGTAAAATTTGTAGATATTGGGACATTTAATTTTGTCGGTAATTGGTGGCTGGTTTTTTTCGGTAATCGTTGGCCTCTACACCCCCCCCCCACTGAAAAAGTCTAGTGACGCCCCTGCTAGTCATATGATTGCATTGTGAGAGAAACGTTGTGGGATCGACTAGAAAAGTTTGATCACCTAGCATATAAAAATCCGTTCCGATATTTATGATGTTACATGTCATATTTAGACTATTCAGGCATTTGAAGAGTCATGTTGGTTAAAAGTGTGGGTGGAAGTGGAACCTTTGTGCTGTGTGTGAAATATCCGACTGAAAAATTAAAGAAAGTGGTTGAAAACTGTAGGTTACTTTTAAGTGATTTCGGGTAAAATGTGGATGGAAACTGTGGCCCTTTCACATAATACTATGGAAAAACTTTAGATAAACATTGTGAAAACTGTAGATGCAAAATGTTGAAAGCTTAGGTTGAAAGCTGTGAGTTTAAACCGGCTTCAGTCCCTATTAAGTGACGTGTGTGAGCTGTCGTAGAAACAAAAATGAGAGGAAATTTATAATGCTATGAAAGATATGAACGTCTGCTAAATTTTAATCTATGGACGCCAAAATAACTTAACACTCTTTTCAGTTTGACAGAGAGAGAGAGAGAACGAGAGAGAGGGAGAGAGAGAGGGAGAGAGAGGGAGAGAGAGGGGGGGGGGGGAGAGAATGAAGGAGGTCGGGGGAACAGAACAGTGAGAGATTGAGGGAGGGGGCAGGGGGGCTTACATTTTTGTCCCACTTGACACACAACACCGGGTGCAGCCTCCTGACTGCATTCTCCCTGATAGGCCCATTCTATCTGAGGACAATCGGTGAAGTATTCTTCCATTCCTGTACAGCTGATTGTGTTCACAATCGTACCCGGTTTAGCTCCCGTCGCGCTATATGTATATACTGCATCTTGAAAACCTTGGTTAATGCAGAATATACGAGCTGCGTTGATGTTCCAATTGTCCAGACAGAATGATCCCCAGGTCCGTCCATAATATACATAAGGTGTACCTGTTGTGACATTGTTTTCAGTCAGCTCAGCGAGGGCCACAGCTGCAAGGAGTGTATTGGAAGTAAGAAAGTAATGTATGTTAATTATGCATTCAATATATTTGTTTAATTACGTTTATTGTCTGCATAAAATTATATACACTTGAAATATTGTATCAAACCATATTATGTTCATGAAAATGTATGATGAAAAAAAGAAAAAAGATGCAGAAACCAATAAATCAAATCAAATCAAATCAAATCAAAAACAAAACGGAAATTGAACAATAATAAACATACCATTGATCTTAATTTGAAAATGGGATGCGATAATGATATTTCATTTTGAGTATTGTAATATACAATAAGTCAGGCCTCCATAACAGTTTTATTGACAAAAGCATATTTAAGATTTAATTCAAGATAATATTCTGTAAACAAGAAGTATATAGGTGTACAACTTGTAAAAACGAAAAATGCACAAATGCAAATAACACTACACGGTCCGGTACAACTTCTTTAAAGCTCCAAGCTATTTGCAGCTCGCTTACATGTGCATTCAAAACAGACACAGTAACAAACAATCTAACAAACGAACAAATAAAAACATGCTATTCCATATGACATTCGTTTCTTGTATCAGGCTCATACACCATACGTATGGTATATAATTTTTAATGTGTGTCGGTCTCGTGGACCTTTTGAATCTTTCTATCATCTATATTCCTTTTTCTGTTAACGTCTCGATGGCTACAGGTCTAGTTGTAGAGGTGTTGTGGTCAAGTGGATACGTCGCCGGACTGTCGATCACAAGGTCCGCGGTTAGAGTCCCGCCGCGGCACTAATTGGCATTTGGCAAGACATTGATCTACATATTGCCACTCTCCACCCAGGTGTTAAATGGGTACCCGGTAGGATGCGCAAGCCAATGTGGTATGCTTAGCAATTTGACCCTAGCAGCTTTTGTTGGAATGCTTCCAAGGGAGTTGAGATAGTGCATACATTTTGTGCGCGCAAGCCAGAATCCGATGACCGGGGTAATAATGTAAAGTGCTTAGAAAATCGGACATTCCCAACGTATTAAGCGCTATATAAGCAATAATATTGTTATTATTGAATGTCCCATTTCATACTTATATTATACTTTCATACTTATATCGTCGACCAATGCTTGTGTCTTCACACTTAACATATTAGAGTCCCGAAGTCCTTGCGTCACATACGTTCATCGTCCAGGTTACAGGTTCCAACGCGAGGTTCACCTGAAATCGTTCAAGCAACGGACCAGGGTCTGGAGCAAATTAAGCAAAGTTCAGTGTTTTTCGCTGGTGTGATCACCACGCCATTTTTTAAAAGCACATCATTGTTTGGAACTAGCAACCTTGACAGCTTGGCTAGTATGAAGTCGGTGCTCTATTGAAAGCTAAAAGGCAGAGGGCCAGATCCACAAACTTGTGCCTCTAAGTGGGTTGATACGATTTTTTTTTGGCGCTCACCTGTTAATACAGGAAATTGTGTTCTTTAGCAAAATGCTAATTACGTACAATAGTTTGTGCTAAATATGACAAACATTATGGCTTGCCTAACCTAACAGGTAAAGGGGGGGGGGGGGGTGGTTTCTTACAAAACACACATATAACACAAAATTTAGGGGGGGGGTTCGACCCCCCCTTTCCGCCCCTGCGTAAGCGCTTGAGTGTACCTCGTGCGTAGGCTCTGTTGATTGGAACCTGGGCGTCGCTTCATGAAACCGTTGAATACTATATAATACATTTATATATAACTACAAGATCACAATTTAAACATGTTTTGAATTATTCGCGTTTTATTGTTGTGTTATAATGAACTTGTAATAACGACGGTTTTGTACAACGCTGCCCTGGACGTGGAGCGAATATGAAGTTGACAATTCGGTACTCAATGTACTCACGGGGTTTGCATTGTATCCCAACGTCCTGCGAATGCGTACAGCTACCAGGTGTCCAGTCATCATACCTCTCACATTCATCTAATCGAGTTTGATGGGAACATCGAAGGCCTCCAAGCACTATCGGCAGGTCGTCTCCTCCAGAGGCGGGGAATTCATCATAGGCACGACGAGGATCGAATCCCAGTTGCATACATGCTACCTTGCTGTCAAATTGGTCCCAGTTTTGGTTGCAAACAGTTCCCCAGCCTTGGTTCTCATCCTGGTATTCCAGTCTGCCTTTACCTAATGATGTAACATCCCCCAGTCTTACAGAACCTATGTACATTTTTAAAAAGAAAAATACAATGTGGTAAGGAAAATCATCACTGAACAACTAGATCTTTTTAGATTTGTCTAATTTTGGGTAATTGTGCCACCCAAGGACCAACCAGACGATCATGATTTTGAATGCCTGTATTATTATCATTGTTGGTGTGGTTGTTACTTACATCATCATTATTAGGACTTGGTATCAAGTATTTGGCGTCACCTGTTCATGGGAGTGGATCAAGCAAATTGAATCAAAATACCTCCGATGTATTAAACTGCATGAATTTGAAATGTGCTAGGTGGACCACTACACAGGGGTTTCCATCCTGCTCTTATACGAATAGTGCGGCGGGTTTTTGCCGTAGAAAAGTGATGACCCTCCCCTACTCGGGGCCTCCATTCAACGTCCTATCCGAGGGACGCGGAGTGTGTTCCATTATAACATAGCCTGCGTCTATCGAACATTATGAAAAGCTCATTTTGAATGGCTTGAATCCCAGGAGCTAGTGTTACTGCTTGACATCAAGGACAACCCCACATTCTACTCAGGGACCTACAAATCATGGAATTAATTGCCCCGATCTGTCACTGGTTTTATCCAACATCAGACACACCTGCTCAAGAACTGTCCTTCCAAAGTTCTCAAGGTCTGGCCACCGTCCGATCATCATCACAAGCGACATCAAGGTTCAACTTTCCAACCTACCAAGGAAAAGACGGAATTTCAGAAAAGCTGACTTGTCCAATGTTAAGGAACTCACAAACAAGCTTAAACCTCCCGCCTGTCAGACCCCTCTATTAGCAATGTGAATGACACCTAATGTGCTTTCTGCCCAATGTTACATCTTGCGGCAAAACTCTCCATCCCCAGGGGCAGAAGACACCCGTATATTCCATGCTGGGACGAAGAATGCGACCATCTGTATGAATCCTACACTAATTCCTAGACCATTGGAGAAAGAGAAGCTGTAGGGAACGACCTACTGAAACTACTACGAGAAAGGAAGAAGACTACATAGGAAGAAGAAGTCTCTGAGATAAACATTACCCACTCTAGTCGCAAGGCCTGGACTACCATTAAAAAGCTTACTGGTCGAAGCAGTGCTCCAAAACAGTGTCTTGTTACTGCAAACTCCATCGCTTCAGTCCTAGTTAACAATGGAAAGTGGCAAGATAAAACCACTAAGGCCCAAAACCACTCTCGCTCAGTGAATTCTTAGGTGAAGAAATTCCTCAAGTCCACTCCAGAGTCAACCTCTATGTGTGAAGCCTTCACGTTGGATCGGGTTTAAACTGCACTGACATATAAAACAAGTCCGACAAAGCACCAGGCATTGATAACATTCACACAGAGTTCATTATGAACCTGAGTCACAAAGCTACTTCATGCCTACAAGCCTTTCTCTCTATTTGCATGACAACATTCACTATTCCATCGAAATGGAAGAAGAACTCAAGAGCTATCGTCCAATCAGTCTGCTACCGTACATCTACAAGGTACTTAAATGGCTGTTACTTGTCAGAATCGTCGACATTATTGAAGAGAAGCTACCTACTACCAAAGCAGGTAAGACAAATCAACCACCGACCAAATAGTCTGGCTTGTCAACAACATAGAGAAGGCCTTCCAGAATAAACAGAAGTTCGGTGCGGTTCTTGTCGACCTTACTGCGGCATTTGACACAGTATTATCATGCTGCTTGTACAAGACCGGTTATTTATTCTTGAAACATCAAACGGCGATGGCAGCAGGAAGGGAGATTCCGCAACGGTGTGCCGCAAGCCTCTGTCCTCGCTCTGATTATTCTCAACATCTATGTTTCTGATATGCCCAAGGGGAATCCATTCAGTATTCCTATGTAGATGCCACCGCACTGGGGTTTGATAACAGCTCCTCCGAGGCAATCGAAACATCACTGGAGAAGGACCTGAGCATGCTAGCTGAGTTCTTCAAGAGATGGCATCTCAAGATGAGCCTACCGAGAGTTGAATATCTCACTAAATAAGGCTAGGCTGAAACCCGACCCCACACCAAAGTAACTAGGTGTCACTCTTGATCGAAGCCTCACCTTCCACGAGCATGCCAAAGCCACAGATCAAAAGACCCACGCCAGAGTGTCTCTCCTAAAGAAGCTTGCTAGGACCGGATGGGGAGCTGATTTTACCACCCTTTGCACCTCCACCCTAGCCGTTGCCTTCTCCACCGCTGAGTATACCGCACCAGCATGGAGCCACAACACCCATGTACACAAGGTCGATGTTGTCCCCAATGATGCTATGAGACTAATCAGCGGAACACTCACTCCAACACATGTCAGCATCCTACCAATACTGTCAGCATATCACCAGCTTAGCTCAGACGAGATTTGCAGTACATTAAGCTTTTCCCAAAGCATGATAGAGATAACTGCCTTGTTCCTGCCCCCTCTGCCTTTGACGGACAGTGTCTCCCTTGAAGACACTCTGCAAAACAGGCTGCTGAGCTGCCGCTTGAGAAGCCTCCCTCCACCTAACCCACCTGGACAGCAAAGCGCTGGTCAGACCAGTGGAATTCTTCTACTACCAACTTAAATGAGTTCCTCCCAGAGCCCTGTGCAAAACCAAGTGGCAGTGACCTCTCAAGAAAAGCCTGGGTCAACCTCAATCGTATCAGAACTGGAGTTGGCCTTACACAATATTTCCTGCATAAAATTGGAGCTGATTTATCACTGTGCCTGTGGAATGATTTAAACTATGGATCACGCCACAAATGCTTGTCCTATCTACAAATACCCTTCATGGTGATTCTGCACTTCTAGACCTCGATAATTAGACCATCAGTTGGTTAATATAAGGATCTTTCTATTTATATGATCTACTCCTTGGTATCCTTCGTACGAACGAACGAGTACAGTATGGCAGGTAACACTAAATCTTAGACCAATATTGTGTTTTTCGTTGTTGTTGTTGGGGGAGGACTATTAATGAAAACGATAATAATAATGATATTAATAATAATAATAATGATAATAATGTCTATAGTAATAATAATTTAGTTAAATTCAAACGAATTCAAAATTTAATTCCTTTCAAAAAATTTAAACCTAAAATCTAACGGAGAAATAGTATTTCAAGCATAAACTTAATTATACAAAAAAAGAAATTTATAAAAAGAGTCCGATCGACATGAACATATTTAATCAAATGACAATGCCCGATGAATACAAGCACATCAAAATAATGCGGACACGAGTGGGTTTAATTGAATTAAAGTTGGTTACTTTCAATAATAATTGTGAACAGAAAAAAGGAAAAGAAAGTTAACAGTAGTAGGGGCTATTATAGTAGTGGTGATGTTTAATATTAATATTAAGAATAATAACAATCACAACAATATGCCGTTTTTCTGATATATAGGCCTAATATTATGTGATATATTACATTATACACAATAAATAATATGTATTATGATATATGAAATATGTATGACAGGGCTAGGGGTAAAAGACTAACCTAAAGAAGTACAAACCACGCCCACGTCTTCTGAATGATCACAGGCGGTGGTTCGAATCCCACTGTGTGCGCATTCAAACAGGTTTGCCTCATCTCCAGTACATTGTACCATATCGAGTAGTACATCGCCCTCTCCTTTTCCAAAATGACCGGCTATTACAACCTCATCTGCTCCAGTATACCCCAATTGTTTACACAGCACCCTGGCTTCCCTGATGGTCCAGAGATTATCACAGACGCTGCCCCATTGTCCTTGGTAGTAAACTTCAACTCTTCCTTCTGATTTACGAGATCCGGCAACCAGACGAGCACTAGAAATAACATCTGGAGTTATTTATTGAAGATAAAGAAGATATATTTAAATGAAAAAGAGAGAATTCGGCATGATTAAAAGAAGAAAAATGGCTTGAAATTAAGAGAAAGATGACAAGACATAACAATAAAGGCAGAGTGTGAACTGACCACATATATAATACAACAGCGTATGCCCATTATGAGCAGACAAAATACAGACACCTGCACAGTATCAACATGTGAACACACTATGCCCCAATCGTTTTGATGCTAACATAATTGTGACACACACAGCGAGGGAGGGTGCCAAATTCGTGAATAAATATTTAGCGGCGAATATGCGAGGGGGTATTGATCACTACTCAACCCCACCCCCCCTCCCTCTTAAGTAGCAACAACTTTTTTGTTTTGGCCAGGGGAGGGGGCGTATTTCTTTTTTTTTAAAGGTAAAATTAACGTTAACATGTTTGTTAACCTATTATTTTTGGCCAGGGGAGGGGCCCCCTGGATCCGCCACTGTAATTAGATTAATAATAAAAGCAAAGAACATGTATGATAGTTTCATCATTGCTATTACAAAAAAAGTACACTTCTTGTCAGCTACTACTAAACACCAAATCTTAACAGAGTATCCTTCATATATATTATTCTATTCAAAATATTGATTTGAAACCACCTCATGTTGATACATGAATCTATTGTTGACTGAAATGGAATTAGAAAGTACGAACCCCAAAGTTAATCTTGAAAATCTAAAGAACTTCTCCACTTTGTGAAAGCTTTACATTATTTAACTTTGTATTTAAGAAAAGATTGATCAATATGTTAACAACCAAATTTTGTTTTCACCGCATGGTGCAAGGTTTCGGGGATGAAAGGTTCTATGGGAACACCATGCGTACTAATTTTAAAACCTGACCGAATCGCATTACAAAGGCCATAGTACTAGAGGAAGTTTGTTTGTCAAACCTAAGTTAAAATTCAAAACATGAAAGAAAGGAAGCATCTATTTATAGGAAGTCGTTCACAAAACGTGTTCCTCATACACTCGAAAGCCTAAAACATACCACTTTTCCATTCATTTTAATTCGGGGGTTATTCCAGAGAGGTTGATAACCAATGTCATCAATACGAAGTTCGACCAAGTCTGACAAAGCGAAAAGGACCCCTTTCCAAAATAGATATGGGTCAAGTATGTCAATTTTCGGTAATAATATGAGCCCATATATA